TGGTAAAAGCTATAATATTGGAGAAACTGTAATAATACCCTCTATAAAAGAATTTATCTCAACAGTAATGCATCAGGATATACCTGAAATTTTAAAAAAGTTGCCCCTAAGCAATAGCACGGTAAAGCAATGAATTGAAGAAATGGCAGTTAATGTTGAAAAACTCTTCATTTTCCATGCAATTGGACGAGTCTACCATTGCAGATAATAATGCTTTATTGATGGCATATGTATGTTATTTTGATGAAAACAATACATTATGAGAAGAAATGCTATTCGCAATAAATCTCATTACAGATACAAGAGGATTATCTATTTTTATTACTGTGAAATCATACTTTACAAAAAATAATATTCCTTTGAATAATATTGTTGCATGCGCTACTGATGGAGCACAATCAATGGTAGGTCGCTATCATGGATTTGTTGCTTATTTGAAGGAAGAAGTGCCAAATGTTTTATGTATTCATTATGTGGCGCACAGACAACATCTTGTAGGAAAACATCTAAGTACAAGTCTCCATTCATCATTAACTATAATAATTCGAGCCATAAACAAGATCAAATCCAATTCAAAAAATGATAGAATGTTTGGACAGCTTTGCCAGGACAATAATGAAGATTTTATTACGTTACTTTTGCACACAGAAGTTCGGTGGCTGTCAAAGGGTACATCTTTGGCTCGTTTTGTAGCATTATATGATAGTGTCATACAATTTTTTGAAAATAACAATGAGACCAATCTGTGTCAACAGTTAAAAACAGTAATGAATGATGCCTTTTATTTGGCAAATATTTTCAAGAGATTTCATGATGTCAATTTGCAGCTTCAAGGAGCTAATAAAACTCTTATAGGTTGCCAAAGTATTATGTCATTATTTATTGACAAACTTGAACTATTTCATTATAATCTATTGAAGAGAGAATTTCATCAGTTTCCTGAATTATCATCTATAAAAGATGATGTAACTCCAAAGGATATTGACAGATTCAGTAGCCACCTCAACAAACTTAAATTGGACATGGAAAAACGATTTGAAGATATTTTGAAATTGAAGGTGTATGACTGGATGAAAAATCCTTTTACTGCAAATATTGAAGAGGCTGATACAACTTGCCAAGAGGAACTGTTAGAAATTAGATATGATGAAGAAAGTAAACATAAATTTGACATGAAAACCTATGACAAAGTAAAAAAATGCCTGTCTTATATCCAAATATGTGGAAAATGATATTCAGTTTATTGATACCTTTCTCTACCTCATATCTTGTGGAATCAGGCTTTAGTGCTGTTAATCATATTATAACCAAAGAAAGAAACCGCCTGAATATTTCCGAAAGAGGAGATCTTCGTTTGTTCCTTACAAAAATTGAGCCAGATATCCAGTATTTAGTTTCACAGCATCAGCCTCAGGGATCTCATTAATAATTTAATTAATTAAATGTAATTTCATCAGACTTTATGCTTCTATGTATGCAAAGTATAAATAAAAAGATAGATTTAACTACAGTAAATTGTTTTATAAAGATTTATTCTACCAAACTTAGCAAAAGTCCAACATAAAGTATTTGGTAAGTAATTATTATTATATGCTTTAACTTGCTGTAACTCTGCTTTATAAAGTTTATAAAGTAAAGTTACTTCCCTACTTTATAAATCACAATTACTATGGAACCGGTGGGTGATTAGAAAATTTTACTACTAACAGAGATACAAAGGTGGGCGGTAGGTATAAAAAGTTTGACTACCCCTGCTCTAACCCTAGAGAGGTAACTCAATTTGCATGTGGTCATGAAACAAATCTCAGTCTTGTGGAGATGTATAATACCGGTATGTACAATGTGATTAAGCCTATATCCAGCAGTCAAGCAAACAAGCACATTCACATCAATAGAAAAATGGATAGAGAAATGTTAGGGCAAATAATTATACACTACTGTAATCTTCTGAAAAGGATGGATGCTTTAAAAATTACCCTGAAGACTAGCTCTTGTGGGGTAGGGCATTTTCCCTAGAGGATTTTAACACATTTTGTAACATATTGTTATCCAGCTGGGTCCCCCTTTTCCCTTTCCCATGTAATTGTTCCTTTATCTTAGAACATCTCAATTTTGTTTGTATTTCTTCTCCCCATCTCACCCCACTTTCTTTCTGATAAATGAAGAAAGGGAATTTGTGCACATTTCTGTATGTAAGAGTAATGTGCATGCTTGAGAGAGAGGGAATGGTTGGCAGATGGGAGATCAATTACTTTTATAAAGAGATTTTTTTTTTAACTACAGGCACTTCATTATAATCAATTATTCATTTTTTTCCCTCTGGCCCTGTCCTTTTCTGGAGTATAATTTTTGCAGATATGTATAAAAATATACAAATATGATATATATGTTAACACATTTACTGGATGAAGAAAATCTGAATGATTTGTTTCAGCTGGAATTAGCAAGCTAGACTGTAGAGATGGAAACTGTGCAGGATTCTTTTCTGTTTTATTTTATTATTATTATTAGTTCTATGACTGGCGAGATGGTTGTAAATTCAGGGTTATCCTTGTTTCAGGTACTGTGTTAGCCCCAGAACTTGAGATGTTAGACTGAGCAACACCCCCATCCCCACCCCCACCAAAACTAAAATAACAGATAAGAGAGCACAGTTCTTGCTGAATGTAGCAGTGGTAGCTGTCTCCCTCCCACTCCTTTGCTATTTGTGAACACTTGTGATGCTAAACTCTCTCTCTCTCTTTCATTTCCCAACACCTACTAAGCATCCAGATTCAGTGTCTATATACATTAATTGCCCAGTTTATATTCAATCTCGATCTTCCCTTATTCTCTGCCAGCTGCTCTTCTACTGGACCTTCTTTTCTCCTCCTTTTGTGTGTACCACTGTGGAGGCTCCCTCTCTTAAATAAATGTGTCCAGATTCTATCAGCAGTATTCCTATTCAGGAGTGCTGATTTATTTGCTGGTGGCAAGGTCCCATGAATACCACAGGAGGAAGGCATCCTATAATTTTTGTCCCTTTTTCTGGATACAGTATGTACTTTTCCTGATAGCTATGACTGCTAAGATATGAGCATTGTAGCAATATCGCTACTTCCTTCCTCAGCATTATTAGGTTGGTCTTTCGTCCATACTAGGATTTCACTCACTGATAAATGATTTGTTAACTGAATTGAAATACAGTATAAATCTGGACAGTTCATAAGTACACTGCCAGACAACATATAAAGTAGCACACAGAATTGTTTAATAAACCAAGACTTGTAGTCACTTTATATGGAGAACATAGTTTCTCTCTTTTAAAAGGAATCAAAATGTTTAAAAATGCCTGTATCATTTACGGTTCTACCTTGCTTTTGCTGATGAATCAATTAAGTATAAAGCAAAAAGGAGATATTGGAGGTTGAATCATTCTGTGTGAGCATTTCTGAAAGTGGGAATTTGGCTGGAACAATGCATGCTTTATAGCAGAAAGATTATTTATTTACAGGATTTAAAGTATAAGAATAGTCAAAGCATACTACCTAGCTAATGATATTCTCCTAGAAAGAAAGTCACCAGTATCTGTGTGGAGGGCTCTGCTATTGGATAGCGAACTTTTTCAGAGATTGTGAGTTTTGGAAAGAGATATTTGCAATTCTGTTTCTGTGTCTTTCAAGGGAAAGAGTTTATGGCTCCTTGGTGAGATAGTTTCCCAAATATGGCAAAAATGTAGCCCAAATCAATAACGTTATATTAAGATTACCGTTAGGATAAACTAAGATACATAAATTATTAGCATACTAGAGGAAAAACTTAATCAAATACCTGAATCGGAAAGGATCAGATAGATACAATGGCTACTGTATTTAATCAAGGCGCATATTGGTGCAGTTGCCTATTAGTAGAATATTGCATTCAATCAGCATAGCGAAACAACTGAATAATGTTGCAGTCAGCAGTGCTTTTGAGCCTTGTTATATTGTTCATATGCCCCGTCAAAGCCTTTGATACTTGGTTGAAGTGCATATATCTCACTTGATAACAATGCTGGTGTGAGGTGGCTGTAATTATGATAAAATCCACAGAACTGGAGAGTGCTAACTTGGGTGCGATGGTGGTGATTATTTTAATTTTAATTTATTTTAATTCAACTTGTAAATAAATTCAAATTCCCTATCTTGTTCCTCCACACGTGTTTTAGATTGTAAAATTTTATATCATATATGTCCTGAGCCAGGAATACATCTTAAATTCTTATATATAGTTAACATGATGGTGTAATTTTAGAGAAATTACACAGGTATTCATTCTCTGGACAACCCATTTTTCTCTTGGATTTCAGAGATGTTGGAAAGACTTGTGTTGTGTCTTTTCATTTCATATACAAATAACTGGACTTTTATAGACAGTAGCACTGGGTTTTAAAAACATTGAGAGCCAATGCAGTGTAGTGGTAAAGGTATTGGGCTAGGACCAGGAAGATCCCAATTTAAGTCCTCCCTCAGTCATGGAAGTGATTGGGTTGTGGGGTGGAAAAAAATTATAAGAAGGTGTGCTAACTATACATACTTCTTTAAGCCCCTGAAAAAACATTAGTGAGAATATAATGTAATAAAATAAATCAATAAAAAAGTGATTAAAAGAAGTTGTAGGTGTGATCGTTCAGTGCTTTGAGTTTCAGGATTAGAACTGCTTCGAGACTTCCTAAGGATGCACCTTTAGTGGGACCTATGGAATGAGCAGCCACTGGATATAATTAATTAATAACCTGTTCAGCGGGACCGAGGCAGGCGATTTCAAAGCATTAGATGCCCCCCTCCGAAATCCTTGCTGGGCCTCCGCTCTTTGTTAGGGAGCTACTCCAGGGACGGGCAACTGATTGGCCAGATTCAGAGCCAGACTTCAAGAACTTTTGACTGCCATCGCTCTTTCTCAGAGCGACATTTGATCTCCACGACCCGAACAGGATACCAAGTCGATTGGTTATCGCGGGGGTCCCGATCTCTCTCAAGCATATACACACTCAGACATACCCACCGACCCCGTCCCCTTGTCTTGATGGGGGAAGAAGGCAGTAAGCAGTGGGGATTCAGCGGAGCCGGAGGGGAGAGACAGAGGTGAGGAGAGAAAGAGCGAAGTAGGATGGGAAGCTCGAGGGGCTGAGAGATTGCTGCGCGCGCACTCGCACACAAAGGAGACGAAGGAGGAAACAAGCAGTGCCGCGCTTTGTGTGCTGAGAGGGTCGAAGCGCCGGCGTCTCCCACTTTCCTTGGAAGCAGCAGCGAACAGAGGTGCGCCGAGAGATCGGCCTCGTTGGGACAGTTGGGGTCTCGGCGCGCAGCGACGCCCTTTGGTAAGTGGTGAATGGCCTATTACAGCGGCCAGATGCTCTGGGCGGGCGGGCGCGGCGGATGCAGAGAGGGCAAGATGCAAAAGAGGCCTTGTTTGGGACTGGTGGGGCAAAAGGCTTACCGGGTAGGCTCCAGATTTCGGGAAAGAGAGCGGACCTGTAACTTTGGCTTCGTTTGCCTGCTTGCGTGCACTGGCGCAAAGAGGTGTGCCTACTGGTGCGCTGTGGAGAAGAAGGATGGGAGAGGTGCTAAGCTAAGAATAACTGTTGCATTTGTGCTTTCAAAGCGAAGAGATGGCGGCACCCCGGCTGTTGAGCCCTGTGCTTCTTGAATGCCTTGTAAAGTGCTCGGTGCTGTACAAAAACCTGGCGTCCACCCTGAACAAACCGTCTGATCCTTATTTCAGGAAGCGAACCGTCTAAGTCCGATGAATGGTGGTGTTGATAACGAGGCAGGACATCAAAAGTAGCTTCCTGAATTCCTTTGGGATGGAGTTGGTCTTTCTGAGGCTTGATCTCATTATATTTCTGTTTTGGCCTTACTTGAAGAAAAAAATCCGTGGGAATTTTGCCATAGTTTGGTGATTCGGAAACAGAAGTGCTAGCTGCTCAGACTTGTCTTGAGTGCCAGAATTTGGTTCTGAACTGGAATTCCTGCTTCCTAATTCAAGCCTAGGGTGAGGTATTTGGCTTTAACATGGTGTCCTATGGCTATCATTGTGCAGTACATTAAAGTGCAAACTGGCCAAACACATTTTACCCTGGTATGTTATACTTTCTTTCCCACTTGATTGATTTAGGATTCAATGAGTATTTATATCTTTGCCCAACCACTGCATTTTTAAAAGCACAAGTACACAATGTCCCAAAGGTGCTTTTTCAAGAGGTAACTGGACTTTCTTGTTTTTCTTTAAGGACATTTCACTTCCCATTCAAGAAGCTTCTTCAGTTCTGAGCTGAAGTGAAACATCTTCAGTGAAATACAAGAAAGTCCAGTTGCCTTTTGAAAAAACACCTTTGGGACAACCATGATTGAGAATCTCCATAGACACAAGGCAAATCAAGTAATGTAATCTAAGAACTAAGTCAAAATACAGGCATTTAAAAATATATACAAAATCTGTTCAACTTCATACTATCTTTGAGGAGTCATATGTTTGAATATTTCCATGTAGAATAATTGCATTTCTGTTTCAAATAAATAGAAAGCTTTTAATCTATACGAAGCCAATTTGATCTAGTAGTTACGACACTAGGCTAAAAATTAGGAAACTGAGTTCCAGTCCTGTCTTAAACATGAAAGCCAGCTGAATGACTTTGGATCCTTCACTCTCTCTCAGTCAATCAATCTCACAGAGTTGTTGATCTCAATCCCTTGTGCAATGGTTCTCAGGCCACAGACCATGGTCATGGACCCCCAAGATTTAAATCATAACATTTTTTCAAGCCTTCGTGGACCCCCTGTAATGACATTGCAGCCCCCTAAGGGGCCCATGGGCTTAGGTTGAGAACTATTGCCCTAGTGAATGTCCTTATTTCCTAGGGAGCATGGGAGCAAATCCACAATCACTAGCATTGACGATGTTACCTTGTTGAGTAATGAAATGTCTGCAAGCAAACAACCAAGTTCAGAGAGCACCAAGGACTTCATAATAGATTTTTTTTTCTGACAAGGACAAGAAAGAATTGAATGTAGAGGAAAGTAGATTAAAAAAAAAACTGTTGACAGTTTTAAATATTTATTTTTTGCTAAATTAGCAGAGAAATATTCTAATTCTAAAATTAGTTTATAACTTAGTTATAAATAACTTATAGAGAAATGATGTTACAGGATTGTAGAAAGATTCAGCTGCAAAACATCTTGAAAGTCAGTTCTGTTTTCTAATAGTCAAGGAAGGATTCAAATACATGTTAGTGTATATTAATCTACCTTAAAATAAATGGTTCTGCAAAAATATTGCAGGAATTTGGGAAAAATCATGTGATAGCACAGTTGTAATTAAAGGACAGTGTTGATGTTTAGGAGCTCTATCTTTTTTCTCTATGACATAATATTCAAAAAATTGTAGAATAAAAAGCTTTCATTTCTGAGGCTATGAATGGGATTCTGGAATTCAGCATTAGTGAGTTTAATTCTAATGAAATTCTGAAATGTTGCTCTCTTTGCTGGATGTATTGGGATATCTTGCAACATGGACATCCATGGAAGAAGAAGGGAGAACAAATGATGTAATATGTCATGATGTAAGTGCCATGACATCAGCTATCAGGATGCAAGAACATAATCACAATAGTTATGACAATTGTCATTTGAACATCATCATGATTTGATGCAGTTGCTATGAGTAATATCACTGGTGAAGCCAATGAAGTAGCTCAGGTTTATCTTTAGCTATTGCTTTCTTAGCAGGGAAGAGATAATTATTTAGATTATATAATAACCAAATGGCCTGAATGCTTAGTGCAAAAAAAGCAGCAGATTTGTGAATTTTATTCAGGTGAGGTATGCCTATTTTATTAGCTGGCTTTTGTTTAGAACAGGCTATTTGTCTAGAGATTAAGAATATACAAAACAGGTCTTATGAAGAAAATTCAAATTCTCTGTTGGCAATAAAAGTGAAAAAATAGAGCAAACAGCAAAGTCCTTACTTTTTGAATCTCTGCACAGTGTTTCTCTCCAGTAACTGTTATAGGAATGCACTTTAACAGTAGTATCTTTGAAATAGTGAGATATTTCTTCTGCTCCCTTGGTATATGGTCCAGCTTTTCATTGCTTCTGAATGATTTATCTTGTATCATTTATTTGGAGTTGTAATCCTTTAGTTGTAAATGTTTTTATCTTTTTAGGCAACTCTCTAGCCATTTATTCAATGGCTAGAGAGTCAGAATAATAGCTTTTGGGCAAGTTATCATATAATAGTTAAGTTGTCACTTGCTCTTTAGCCTTTCACTGAGCAAAAAATGTTCCTCTGCCAAAAATTGACTAGAAAAGGGATTCCTGTCAAAGAAATTATCCCAGGGGTAATAGGGTCCTCCTGAAAAGTTGGTTTTCACTCCAGTCAATTTTTAACCTGGAAAGTCACTAGAGATACAATGTCATAAATATTCACAGGGGGAAATCGTTTGCTGGGCATTGTAATCTATTCAGTAATGAGTCTGCAGTGGTATCTATGGGCATTCTGTCACCAGCTCAGCTGATACATTATTGTTATAAAGTAGTTACCATATAAAATTTTAGGTAGACTTATCTGCAGATAAGTTGGCCCTCAAAACCTTAACCAAAATACCATAACAATTTTTTGCCTGTGGATAAGCCGAACCTTGAATTTTTAGCCATAGTGACAGATGGCAAACTGCAAACTGTTACAACATAATTTATAAAACCACATAATTTTAAAGCTGTGGTGGGCTTTAAAAAAATCTGACCTCCGGTCCGCAGATAACCTGAACCCAATTTTGTGGATGTATTTTTGAACCTAACATTTTTGGCTTATCTGTGACAATATATATAATATTGTTATATGAAATAGTCAAGATTGGCTTTGAGTTCAAAATTTGGTCAGAGATTATACTAGAGTTTTGTACAACTGGGGGTGTTGAAACCTATACATGAAAAGAGTGCTTAATTAGGGAATTCAGCTAGTATATTTCTTGTTCTTAGAAGAAAATTTGGATTTAGGCTTTTTCACTTACTGTTTCATAGTACTATGTGATAGACACGAAGAGAAAACCTTGCAGAAGGCATAAAAAGAATCTTTGCTCATGAGGAACAGAAATCCTTTGGATTATCCAGTATCTATCTCAAATGGAGATACTGTAATAGGAACTTGTGGTTTTATGCCTTAAGTTCCAGAAGAACTATGATAATAAGGTTGTTAACTCCCCTTACTTAATGAAGAAAAGAGAAAATGAAAGAGACTGATGGTAGCACACACTCATACTGAGCGCTCATTTAGCAACCATAGTTGGAACTGGCAACTCGGTTATTAAGCAATTGCTAAGTGAAACTGTGATAGTTTATGAATTTATTTCAACTTTCCTTTGTTTTACAGACCTGCAAATATAAGGGTTGGCTGCAAAGTTATTTTTTCATCACCATTATAACTGTGAATGGTCATTATATAAGGCAGTTGCTAAATGAAGACTACCTATATAATGCCTTTAATAATAAAATCTGAATTTTGACACTTTAATTTTATAACAAAAACTAGAACTTCAAAGAGTTCAACAGAAAATGAATAATTTTCTTATAAAGAAGAAAACCTTCAATCACTGGTATCAAAATTGAATGCCTTTATATCTGGAGCTAAAGCCACTACATTTGACAGAGAACAGACACTTCTTTTAGTGGAAATCTCATTCAGACCATTCCCAATTATATAAACTGGAGGGTCCAGTTTGAAATTCAAGCGTATCAAATGAAAGTGAAGTATCACTCTGCAAACCCACAGACACACACATGTACAATTACACAAACAAATAGCTACCAGTTTCCTCTTCTGACATTTCTTTGGCCAAGTTCTGAATGACCTAACTTGAGAAAAATTGACACTCAGAAACAGATCATGAAAAGAAGACCATTTGTCCACATACTATTCATGAAATTGTAAAATTTGTTGGTTATAAATCTAAAACCTGTAAAAGAGCAATTAAACTAAAAACTTTTATCTAATTATCTAACTGCTATTTAAGACTAAAAAAATTGAAGCTATGTAAATGCAGGCTGTATACAAAAAAACCCCTTGAGCTGAACAACATAAATTTCTTTGAGTTCTTGATAATTAGTTATGTAATTGCATTCATAGGAAGTCCACAGTAGCAGTTAATGAGGTGATCCAGACCCTGGCAGTTTTAAATCAATGTGAATTCTGCAATGCATGTTAAAGAGGAGTAGGACATCATCGGATTGTACCCATCATTTTGACATCAGTGAGTGTCATTATTTGAAATTGCATACCATATAAAAGAGAAGAAGGTCAAAGAACATGAGCCAGACCCAGAAG